AGAACTCCCTGTGTCGTCATCTGAGGTATCATTAAGTAAGACTTACATTATAGTCCACCAAAATGTTAAGAAAAGTTCTTGAGTGTTGCCGCTATGTGTACAACCAAACATGGTCTATTTGTCATTTCAGGAAACATGTAGATTTGTAAGTGGTATAGTTTGGGTTACTTTGTAAATGCTGGAGGTAGATTTCTAGGATTTATTATCATTGTTGATAATACTTGAATTCAAGGGTTCTTATTGGAAATTTGAGTGTCCAGTAAAGTAATGAACTGATGTGTCGTAGTAGTAGTGCTGTGACACTTAATAACCAATTATTTACAGGTCCATTATATTTCTGGTCAAGAATTTGTTACAATTAATATCATTGTGCATCCTTTGGGACTTGACATATGTTGTTTCATTCCATTTCTGCATATATTTCATACATTTGTGCATACTACGCACATATGTCTGCATCACTTAAATTGCCTTTTGATCTGTTTGTTGTGAGATGCTTAAATATATAGTTCTGAAAAAGTATACTTTCAATGTCATAATTTTATCATTTTAAGTATAACATTTTGCAAAATGAACAATTACATAATTGGTGTAGATGATAATGCCTCAAAGAAACTTCTACTTAAATATATATTATCATCTAGACTGTGACATACTGCGCCTAGAATCCAACACGATGCTGTTTTCTCGCATTACATTATTACCCTGATGGAATTGTACTTTCAAAGCTGCTAAACGCTTCGTGCGACCGTATAGGTCTGTACATCCGCTTCTCAGGTACCCATTTTGAACAGCTGGGTGGACTGAGTGCAATGTGGATGAAGTGCCTTGCCCAGGTTCACAACGGACACAACACAGTAAATTTTGGTGTCTCCACCGGGATTCGAACCCGAGCCTTTGGCGTAAGAGGCCAGCATGCTAACCACTACACCACCATGCTCCACTCACAATCATGTCTCACATTTTCGGTAATGGTGCCAGAACTACAGGCTTTGTATCTGACTGTTGAAGACATTTCATCAGATGTACTGGTATCTGTCTAATATCTTCTTGTGGTCATGGTGGGCAAAAACCTTTGAGGTACAATGTGTCAAGCCCATTTCTGGTGTCCCCTGCCATGACACTGCTTGAATATTGCTAAAAGCAATGTAAAACCATACTCGCTCACTCACTCAAACACCTTTGAGATCATCAGTTACAACAATAGGGCATTAGATTGCTGGCCACAAATATGTGCAACAAAATGCAGGCTTACTTGTGATAAAGTCTCTGTGTTACTGTAATTCAGTAACTAGGACCTCAATACTTCTAATCTGACAAACACAATTTAATGAAAACACAATCTTTTAGTGAAATGAAGATCTTTAATTGTAAATGATGCATAAGAACTCTGGCTGAATCAAATGGGATTGATCTTCAATCCTTTTGTCTCATACTTGTGCACTGAAGTAGTGAAATGGTCATTTCATCTCATAAAATAGAGTGGTGTAATACATATCTTTCCTTGTACCATTCAGTAATGACAGCATATGTGACATATATTCTCAACTTCAATACAAACATGAAAAAGAAAATAACAAAGGTTAAGCACAATGTCCCAATGCATGTGAGATACAAACTAGTTATAAATAAAACAAAGGCATAAATAATAAAAGCTTGATAAACAAACTTGAAAGACATATTTTACACAGAAGCACTGTTGCTCATCACAGAAACATATTGTGTCAGTCAGGAAGCCCAAGTCCAGTATGATGTTTTAGGAAAGTTTCAGAATACAAATGCACAATTAGAATTACTATTTTAAGAAATGTGGACACGTTGTTCTGTTTACATATTAACTCATCATTTTATTTTCAGATGAGTAAGGACAATGTTTTCTAATCTGTGGGTATATAGTTGGAAAGTAATACAAATGGCAAAATAGTGTTAACCATCACTAAAACCTTTACACAAAATCATCTGCATTTCTTGACACTGATGTGACAATTAACTTTATTCACAAATACCATTTGTCAAATAATGTATCCCTTGCCTGAAAATATAATAACCAATGTCTAGCACAGGTAAATAAGCATTTTTACATGTAAATGTTTTATTTAGAATAAAGATTAGTTACAGATACTCAAAGTCTGGACAATTTCGGTTTCACTGTTTTGGAACCACAGTAATCATCTCAGCTCGGCTTAAAAAAATAGTGAGTTCAAGATATCTCATTGTATGTAAACGTCATATACTGAGAAATGACAGCATTATATTTTAATGCTTCATGGTATCAACAGGTTTCAATGTCATCGACCATCTGCAGCTACTCAACAATATATGCATTGTACAAGCAAGAAAACGATTGAAATTTGTGAAACGGGTGCAGTTCGCATGTTCATTTAGCAAACAGATCATGACAATTTTTGCATTCATACACGAAAAGACTAGATACGAAACAAAAACTGTACACTATCTACATATTATATTACATTTCACATGTGCACATCTTAACAATATTGGTACATACATGCTTCATCAGTGACAAGTTCAAAGGCAACCATGACAAACTTTTATCACAATTATATTTTATCACAATATCATTATATAGATGATGATAGTTCTTAAACAAGTTTTGTAACATAATTCTGTTGGCAAAAAAGATCCATCAATACATGTCTGAATAACATGGACAATATAAATACAGAAAATTGCTTAATCATAATGGTGTTATACAATAACATCACTGAATATTCAGATTCTTTTCTCTGCAAAACTCTGCTTTACAACATGTACATAGTAGAATCAAATCTGTTCAATTCCATTATAAACATATCTATTTCAACAGCTAAAAGTGATATCTCTTCATAAATACACAATAAATCTGTGGGCCTGGACTAAAACATGTGATGACAATATTTTTCACCACCTGGGTTATTTTGTTGTGAGGTATCTTGAATTCAAGAAACTGATATTAGGCCCAATGTAACTTTCCAACAACCCTCACTTTAGCACTAGATGTAACATGAGAGAGCTCTATCACTGCTTAAGTCACTATGTAGCACAAATCTTTCCGCAGCAGTTGCTGAAAGTCTTTATACAATGGTGAACTATTATTTCCACAGCAGTGTAAATGTGTGTCCCATGAGAGTAGTAAATCCACAGAAGCTCCCATGAGAGAAGTAGTGTAAATGTTTGTCCCATGAGAGCAGTAGTGTAAATGTTTGTCCCATGAGAGTAGTAGTGTAAATGTGTGTCTCATGAGAGTAGTAGTGTAAATGTATCCCATGAGAGCAGTAGTGTAAATGTTTGTCCCATGACAGCAGTAGTGTAAATGTGTGTCTCATGAGAGTAGTAGTGTAAATGTATCCCATGAGAGCAGTAGTGTAAATGTTTGTCCCATGAGAGCAGTAGTGTAAATGTTTGTCCCATGAGAGCAGTAGTGTAAATGTTTGTCCCATGAGAGTAGTAGTGTGAATGTTTGTTCCATGAGAGTAGTAGTGTGAATGTTTGTCCCATGAGAGCAGTAGTGTGAATGTTTGTCCCATGAGAGCAGTAGTGTAAATGTTTGTTCCATGAGAGCAGTAGTGTAAATGTTTGTCCCATGAGAGCAGTAGTGTAAATGTTTGTTCCATGAGCATAGTTCACCCACTGCAGACGTGGGCAGTGTAAATGTTTGTTCTATGAGAGTAGTAGTGTAAATGTTTGTTCCATGAGAGCAGTAGTGTAAATGTTTGTTCCATGAGCATAGTTCACCCACTGCAGACGTGGGCAGTGTAAATGTTTGTTCTATGAGAGTAGTAGTGTAAATGTTTGCCCCATGAGAGTAGTAGTGTAAATGTTTGTTCTATGAGAGTAGTAGTGTAAATGTTTGTTCCATGAGAGTAGTAGTGTAAATGTTTGTCCCATGAGAGTAGTAGTGTAAATGTTTGTTCTATGAGAGTAGTAGTGTAAATGTTTGTTCCATGAGAGTAGTAGTGTAAATGTTTGTCCCATGAGAGTAGTAGTGTAAATGTTTGTTCTATGAGAGTAGTAGTGTAAATGTTTGTTCCATGAGAGTAGTAGTGTAAATGTTTGTCCCATGAGAGTAGTAGTGTAAATGTTTGTTCTATGAGAGTAGTAGTGTAAATGTTTGTTCCATGAGAGCAGTAGTGTAAATGTTTGTTCCATGAGCATAGTTCACCCACTGCAGACGTGGGCAGTGTAAATGTTTGTTCCATGAGAGCAGTAGTGTAAATGTTTGTTCCATGAGCATAGTTCACCCACTGCAGACGTGGGCAGTGTAAATGTTTGTTCTATGAGAGTAGTAGTGTAAATGTTTGTCCCATGAGAGTAGTAGTGTAAATGTTTGTTCTATGAGAGTAGTAGTGTAAATGTTTGTTCCATGAGAGCAGTAGTGTAAATGTTTGTCCCATGAGAGTAGTAGTGTAAATGTTTGTCCCATGAGAGTAGTAGTGTAAATGTTTGTTCTATGAGAGTAGTAGTGTAAATGTTTGTTCTATGAGAGTAGTAGTGTAAATGTTTGTCCCATGAGAGTAGTAGTGTAAATGTTTGTTCTATGAGAGTAGTAGTGTAAATGTTTGTTCCATGAGAGTAGTAGTGTAAATGTTTGTCCCATGAGAGTAGTAGTGTAAATGTTTGTTCTATGAGAGTAGTAGTGTAAATGTTTGTTCCATGAGAGCAGTAGTGTAAATGTTTGTTCCATGAGCATAGTTCACCCACTGCAGACGTGGGCAGTGTAAATGTTTGTTCCATGAGAGCAGTAGTGTAAATGTTTGTTCCATGAGCATAGTTCACCCACTGCAGACGTGGGCAGTGTAAATGTTTGTTCTATGAGAGTAGTAGTGTAAATGTTTGTCCCATGAGAGTAGTACCCTCACAGAAGCTGTTGGAAGTGTAAATAATGTATCCCATGAGAGAAGTAGTGTAAATATGTGTCCCATGAGAGCAGTGGTGTAAATGTGTGTCCCATGAGTGTAGTACACTCACAGAAGCTGTGGGCAGTGGAAATGTGTATCCCATGAGAGAAGTAGTGTAAATATGTGTCCCATGAGAGCAGTAGTGTAAATGTGTGTCCCATGAGTGTAGTACACTCACAGAAGCTGTGGGCAGTGGAAATGTGTATCCCATGAGAGAAGTAGTGTATATATGTGTCCCATGAGAGAAGTAGTGTAAATATGTGTCCCATGAGAGCAGTAGTGTAAATGTGTGGGCAGTGGAAATGTGTATCCCATGAGAGAAGTAGTGTAAATATGTGGGCAGTGGAAATGTGTATCCCATGAGAGAAGTAGTGTAAATATGTGTCCCATGAGAGCAGTAGTGTAAATGTGTGTCCCATGAGTGTAGTACACTCACAGAAGCTGTGGGCAGTGGAAATGTGTATCCCATGAGAGAAGTAGTGTAAATATGTGTCCCATGAGAGCAGTAGTGGAAATGTGTGTCCCATGAGTGTAGTACACTCACAGAAGCTGTGGGCAGTGGAAATGTGTATCCCATGAGAGAAGTAGTGTAAATATGTGGGCAGTGGAAATGTGTATCCCATGAGAGAAGTAGTGTAAATATGTGTCCCATGAGAGCAGTAGTGTAAATGTGTGTCCCATGAGTGTAGTACACTCACAGAAGCTGTGGGCAGTGGAAATGTGTATCCCATGAGAGAAGTAGTGTATATATGTGTCCCATGAGAGAAGTAGTGTAAATATGTGTCCCATGAGAGCAGTAGTGTAAATGTGTGTCCCATGAGTGTAGTACACTCACAGAAGCTGTGGGCAGTGGAAATGTGTATCCCATGAGAGAAGTAGTGTAAATATGTGTCCCATGAGAGCAGTAGTGGAAATGTGTGTCCCATGAGTGTAGTACACTCACAGAAGCTGTGGGCAGTGGAAATGTGTATCCCATGAGAGAAGTAGTGTAAATATGTGTCCCATGAGAGAAGTAGTGTAAATGTGTGTCCCATGAGTGTAGTACACTCACAGAAGCTGTGGGCAGTGGAAATGTGTATCCCATGAGAGAAGTAGTGTAAATATGTGGGCAGTGGAAATGTGTATCCCATGAGAGAAGTAGTGTAAATATGTGTCCCATGAGAGCAGTAGTGGAAATGTGTGTCCCATGAGTGTAGTACACTCACAGAAGCTGTGGGCAGTGGAAATGTGTATCCCATGAGAGAAGTAGTGTAAATATGTGTCCCATGAGAGCAGTAGTGGAAATGTGTGCCCCATGAGTGTAGTACACTCACAGAAGCTATGGGCAGTGGAAATGTGTATCCCATGAGAGAAGTAGTGTAAATATGTGTCCCATGAGAGCAGTAGTGTAAATGTGTGTCCCATGAGTGTAGTACACTCACAGAAGCTGTGGGCAGTGGAAATGTGTATCCCATGAGACTAGTATTTGCACTAAAAGTATTCTGCTATGTCATACAGCATGTACTGAAGAAGCAAAACACACACAGAAACATTCTTTCAAATTAAGGACAAATTATACATTTCATGGATTTTCACAAAACACTTGTTTTTTTCAAAGTAGTTCCACCAGTAGTTCAGGATGTCAAACGCCCAACTTAAGACATGTTTGGTGGAAGTAAAGACATGTCACATATGCAGTACAGCTTTAAAACAAAGTCCTAACCCTGTATCTACCTATGAATTTTCCTTGCACGTCCAGGTCAATAAATGCTACACAGAGATGAGTTTTTGACTGTTTGGCCACCAGAGTATTACATTTTAATATAACCGGTACTCACCAGGTATATTCAAAGTTAGCTGAAAGTAGAGAAGTAAGGAAAGTATGATATCTGACTTGAAATCATGATAATGTGGTCTGTTCAATGTGAAATGGTAATATGATCTGAAAGAAATATCCTTCTCTCTTATTATATGGTTACAATTGTAAAGTTTCACTGTATTCGGGAAAGCAAACTGACAGATTTATGACATTCACTGTCAAAAGGTGTTATAAAACTTGCCAAGGTTCAATTCAGATGAAAGTGCTTAAACAATGCTAAGAAAACTCATAAGCACTGTCATCTACACAAATCTTCAGCTTGATCATTCAGATATTCTGAAAAGTTTTCTTGTATCGCTCTGGACTTGGTCGTCCTCTTTCAAGATTCTTTATATTTTTGTTTTTCACATACTGGAACATGCAAATCCAACTGCCTTGCTACTTATATCCATCAGATTCCCAGACATTATTTCAATGTAGAAGATGTTTTAAAGATTTTAGGTGGGTTTTTTGTCATTGTTGTAAGAAATGTTATTATCAACTAATCTTGAATGGTATTGCATTGATGGCTCAGTTCTTCAAGCTGTTTTCAAGGAGGAGATGAATGTAAACAGACAGAAATTACAGGTGCCTTATCACTGACCTTGTGATGTAATAGACTAATGTACACTTTGCCGTTAAGCTTGCTATATTTAGATATCCTTTATAAGAAATGAGGATACAACTTTCAAAGGACTGACTGACTGAGTTTGGTTTTACGCCGCTTTTAGCAATATTCCAGCAACATCACGGCGGGGGACACCAGAAATGGGCTTCACACATTGTACCCATGTGGGGATTCGAACCCGGGTTTTCGGCGTGACGAGCCAACGCTTTAACCACTAGGCTACCCCACCGCCCCACTTTCAAAGGAAGAATTTAGGAATAATATCATTTGATAAAGAGTTTACCATGCTTGTGTGCTTGGGGATGGAAAATATCCTATATCATAGATCAACACCATTTATTTACCTCCATAAAGCTCACTAAGTAATATGTGTATTTCTACTACAGGATATATCTAAAAACAAATAAAGATTGCAGTATTGTTGTGCAAATCAATTTTCTTACAAAACATATAGTCAATTTCCAAAAGAAAATATTTAAAAGTGATTGAAAGTGCTGAAATCACATGCTCTATAATTGACTTCCAAAACAAACCTATTTTATCTTTTAATTTACCAATATGTAGACTTATTTGCTGAGCTTATTTATCTTAGAATACACAATACCATTTAGAAGGCGGTCAAATGTAACAGGTTATATTTATGATTTCACTTTATCACTAAGTAACAAATTCCAGTACTGTTTGGGGTGTCACATAGTCCCATACTCTCAGGGTCAGGCCCCTAATCTCCAGCAAAGCCAGCGATCAAACCCACTCAGCGAGTTAGATCACAGACTTTGTGTGCTGGCAATGAGTTCCTGACTCTGAGAGTATGGGTTCGAGTCCCAAATGGGACTCAACCCCCAAAAGTACTAGAATCTATACTTTATTGAGAAAGTGAAATTCCAAATATATCATGTGATATTTAGCTGCTACATATACATATACTGTTTCTGCCTTTTTATATCAATCACTCTTACCTCCTACAAAGAAAATAATATTGCATAGATTGTCGTGTAAATTGTTATGACCAACATCGTGTTCGAGTACCGTAAACCTCCTACTGCCCTCAGTCCTATGTTGCACAATGAATGTCTGTCTGGGATAATCCTTTGAGTGTACAACTGAAGGAGTCTTTAGTGTTGTTGCTAATAAGACATAAGTTGTGGACAAGATAATCAAACAGATGAGCAAACAGAAAAGGGCCAAAATTTGACTGAAAAGTCTGAGGCAGAAAAAGGAAGACAGTTTGATCATTGAAACTGCACAGCACGTCAAACACAGGGTACTTGTTTTAACCATATTTTGGGGGGACAATTTTATTTATTATGATCTGTCACAAACCAATTTAGAAAGTATTTTTGGTCAAGCATTTATGATTAAACATCTAAAGTATTTAATTTTAAGTCTGTAAAGTTGCTTTGTTGCTCTTAAACACCTGTGAATGCATAGCTGAAACATGTTAAATATATATTTGATCAAGGATTACTTTTGTAAATTGAACTTTCAATGAAAATGTGAAGAAATATGCCCTGTGTAAGTATGTCAACATTTATACACAGACTCCACACTGAGGGAGAGGTCTCCAATATAACTCTGTGTTCAACTGTTCCAATGGGTCGAATGTTGACACTTCACCAGTTCCATTTACACTGTTTCAAACTGACGACTGGTAAAGTCCAGGTTAGCCACAGAAATTATGTTGAAGGTAGGCTTGCTTATCTTAGCACCGACTGGCTGGTTCAGTATTCCTACAACTACCAGTCAATCAACTTGTCTCATAGGTTGTAAGAAGAGCAGCATCTACAGGCTCCATGCAGGAAGGACATGTAAATGACCGCATTAACCAGTCATCAATACACTCTTTGTGATATGTGTGCATACATGGCAAAAATCGCAACATGTCTCCCAGTAGAAAATCTCCCATGCATATCACACATCTGAAAAAGAGGTAAAGTAAAATGAAGTATGTAACTCACCATTAAAATATTTGCACCATACATCATATTTTCCCATCATATCCAGGCTGCCACCACAAATACCAAATCAATTCAGTGTCTAATGCAAGCAAGAGACATTTGGCATTGTAATTCATCTGGATTGATCAATTTGAATGTTAGTTAAAACAAGCATATAAATTTATCATTTTCTACTAGGTTACCTACATCAAATACTGCTTACCTACATCAAATGCTGTTCTGTACAGGAAAAAATGTTTCAGCATTACAATATCAAAATAATAATCTTAGATGTTTTTAAATGGTAATATGTTAAATGAGCAAATAATTTGCTGATAGAAACTGAAAAATAATACAAATTTAGGAACAAATTGTACATTATCCAATCTCACACAATGCATTTTACCATCCTTCCTTGATCTTGTTATGGAAACGGTTCAAGAACAAATTTTCCAGCTTCAAAATACATCTTATCTAAACACATCCCACTCGTCATCACCGACCCCTCACCACTGATGTCCTGTGTGACCTGATCACATAACATTCACTGGACCCTCAATTCCTCTCTTGTGCATACAGGCTGTTGTAAACGTGATGCATGAGTGGTTAGATACAGGATATGTGTAAAAACATAAAATTTCCAAACTTACGCTAAATATGTCCCTTGTGTAATTAATGTTCATTAATTTCACAAGGGACATATTTCCTGTAATCACTCATACCTCATGGGTTATTCTCTAAATCTCTGCAGGAATTGGCATCTGCTATCTCAGCCAGGATTCCTGGAATGTGTTAAGCCATTTAGATCTGCACCAATTCTTCAATCTAAGAAGATCCTGACGTATCAAACCACTGACTGTATCTTGATGTAGTAGAGATGTCCCTAGAAGATCTGACCAATGCTCTGATGCTCTTGGCCTTGCAGCCGTGCTTATGAAGAAAGGACAAGGGGAAGCACTGGATCGGTCATGTAATTGACCTCGTTGAGTAAGAGCTTGTGCTCATGTAAGAATGTCAAGGAGTACCTGCCATAGGCCTAGATATAAGGGTCGAGTAATAACGATACCTGTGTCGAGGTCTTGGCTTACCAAACTGGAGGAACTAACATTTTCCCCAAACATAGCACTGATGAAATGGAGACGTTCAGTGGGACAGTCTCCAACATTGACAATTTAATAAACCAGTCCATATTTGCTAAGTCAAGATGCTTCACAAGCATTGTCATACAAATGTGTATTAAATAAAACTGCTCCAGTAAGTATGAACATCATTATTGAACAATTTCAAAATCATACTTTTTAAAATACAGCTTACAGATATTAAAAAAAGAAAAGTGGTAAGGTGAAGGATGTGACAAATTCATGTGGGAAAATCTCCATGTAACATGTTGTAAGTAATGTAACATAACAAATATTGACTTCATGCTATTACTGTCAATTCATTTCACAAAACCCAATGATAGTATCTGAGAAGATATTACTCAAAGCGTACGGTAACATCGAAAAAGTTTGAAGAAATAACTTACTTTCTATCTTCCCCAACTTAGCTGCCACACACAGGGCCTGTCTTTCACATGTGCCTTGTCTATTGTTCACAATCATTATAGCAAAAGGCAGCCAATGTATTACATCAAAATTGTAAAATGTACATCATAAATGTTATGTTGTATAGTACAGAGAGATCGTCATGGTGAAGGCATGTACATAAAATTCAACCCTGCCATGACCTATTTTATGTGTGCTGCTGATATGACAGAACTAGTAATTTCAAGCCCTGTGATCATTATCCATTCACTTGTATGTTTTCACTGACCATATTATTATTTTACGCGATCATTATGTACCAGGGTTTTACGTGACGAGCAAATGTGCATCTAGTACACACAAATGTAGAGAATGGACCCAGAAAAACAATTCACTGCATCCAGGGGAACGCACAATATTATTTCACTGTACCCACAACTATGACTTTGCTAAGTGTGTGGTTGTTTCTTTCAGAGGAGTTACTTGCATCATTTCATCCATCAGTCTACATGATAATGATTCATTCCAGGCTCTAAAGAAATTATCAAAACATACAGTTCTCTACACCGTTACTTCACAGGACCCTTGGCTGCAAGGATGCTTAAAGGTCACATGCAACCAAAAAATCAAACATAATTAAAACACAATTATCACTTATTCATGACATATAATATACATCGCTAGTTATGAAAAAACATAAAAACAAATTTATAAGCGTACAATCGCAAATCAAAAGTGCAATATTTTGTACTTGGGTTCACTTCCCAAGAAACGAAGCAGCCGGGATACCGAACCCAGTCAGAGCGGGTGGGTGTGCACTCAAGTGTAACGGCTGGTTCATTTGCAGATGCCCTCACGGCTCATTGTGTGTGTGTGTGTATATAGAGATGTTGGGTTTTGTAAATACATGCTCATTTTTTGTGTATAACATTTTGCAATCAACAGACATCATAACATGTCATGTGTACAAGTATCACACCTGCCTGTCTGTGTAATTACATAATGTGACAGAGACCGAACTCGGGCCATAAATCTATGTGTTTTGTTTATGGTGTATAGCCTGATAGGTGTTAAGTTCAAATTGCATGTGGTCAGTGATTGAAATTGTGTATTGAATATTGTCATTAGCAGACGGGCAGGCAGACACATAGGTGCCAATAAAACAGACATTGAGTTTTGTCTGTGACAGCGATATATCTATGTCACAGTTAGAAATTCTGTCAACGCTAAATAATGACATTGCTTTTAAGTATCGAACTGAGGAAGTGACTCGGTAAGAAGAACGTGTGGTGAAATAGACAAATGAAATTATATGAACAGTTAAATCGGTAATCTACTGTAATAACATATAAAAAGCTCACGTCTGTGAAATATCAACAAAACACACCAAAGCCTTCACCGAATATTCACCGGACAACACGCTTCCAAGCTCCGCGAACCTATTTCACTGCGCATGTGCTATGACTGAGCGCAGCCCAGCTGTTGAAACCACTTCAATTCCCCCAAGCTCTGGGGGAAAGTTAGTGAATCGTTTGAACTATGATTTCGTGCAGTTTTTTTCATCGCGTTATTTTTCAACTTTTTAAGTTGAATTTGCATTTTTGATGATTTGTTTCTGTAAGCCCATACCGAAAGGTACAAGTTGTGTTTTACGTTGCATGTGACCTTTAAAACTAATAATTAGGGGTACCCGTGAACCCCACGTTTACGAGTCGAGGTAAAACCCTGTGTACTATACAACCAAACATTTGCATCATTAAAATGTACCATACTCTGCAAATTTGGAAAAATATATTACTGTTATCCCCCTCACATATCAACAACAATTTGTAGTTCGGGGGAGTGATTCTTTTTAATACCATGAGCTAATTTACTTTTATATTATTTTGGCAGTTTCATCTGCAGAAAACATTTACATGGGTCAGTAGTGTCTGCATTCAATTTTTGATTCTACGAGATTTGTTCAGTTTCAGTGTAAGCATTAGCTCTCACGCTCAGTAAATCTTTGTTCCTTGTTTGATGTCTGGATTACTTTATTATAAATTACTGCAGTTGACTTGAGAAATATAAAGTAGGTCTTTTTCTCTTTAAACTGTCATTTTGACAACTAGCAGTTGTATGCTTGGGTTTTTCACAACAGTCAACATGAGTAACCACTTACTTTTGAAACACAAGACCCATGTAGTATCATGTGTGACATTCCATTATCATACAGAAAGATGCAAGTACATTCCAATATATTTCATGCGATCTTATTAAATATCTGTAAGATACAGTCAGTGGAAATCAACAATCACTAACACACCACATTTGTACTTTCATCTGCCATAGTATCGGAACAAACATGTTTGTTGTGCACTAGACAAGTGAGGACAGACATGAGACAAGTGTTTGCCACTAATATGGCAATGTCCACTGCCGCTAAAGAAGAATGAAATATTTATAACATATTTACTACTTTTTATTTTTTGGTCACATACAAGAAATGACTGGTGTCTGCATAGTCACCCAATTTAGGCTGTCAACATAATTGAAGACATTGGGTGCAATGTTTTAAGAGAGATCTCGTTTACATAAGTTTGAAAAGTGGTCAAAATGTCATGGTGACCTTGAAGATAAGGTCAAGGTCACCAAAATCAACAGGTGTCTGCATAATCCCCCAATGTAGGCTGTCACCAAATTTGAAGACATTGGGTACAACAGTTCATCAGATATTGCCTTAACAAGAGTTTGAAAAGTGGTGACAGTCTTAGTGACCTTGAAAATAAGGTCAAGGTCACCAAAATCGACTGGTGTCTGCGTAATCCCCCAATGTAGGGTGTCACCAAATTTGAAGAAGTGTAAAGAAGTATGTTATGAAGGCTCACTGTAAAATGTATGAATGCAGACAGCCTACAAAACATACATTTTGAAAATATATTTATCTTTTTCAAATCCAGATTTGAATTTCCCCCGGTATCAGTCAGGTGGCCAAAGGAGGTGCGTTTCCATAGAAACAAGCCTGTGAGTTGGCTAAAAGTTTCATTCAGGGTTTTATATTTCAGGGAGGCTGTGAAAATGCCCCCCTCCCCTGACCCCATGCTGTGCAACTTTAGGGCTGTACACTTGTTCGATGCTGACATCACCATGTTGAAGATTTTATTTTCAGAAAATAAGTAAAATTTGAAATTTCATATATGCCAATCAAATTAATCTCTTTTGTCATCAACATATGTTGTGAAAGGTTGCCAGGACATTTACTCTAAGGCAGTATCTATTTTAGTAGTAAATTCCAAGGTTGACCTTTGACATCGCCAGACTCTTTGCCAGGCACCCATAGCCCTTACAGTCCTGTTACTCATGGGCAGATAACATCTACACTGCTGAGGAGTAGCCAATGGGAGACTACTTGGAAACCCATGGGTGTTTTGGAGATTTGCACCCCGGCCTTTAACAAGAATCGGGACGTAAGTACAGACGCTGCTGAGTACATAATCCCCGTTAATAAAGAACAGAACATGAACACACTCAGGATGGAGTTGAAAAGAAATATTGGTATCAATATAACAACCTAAAAGGGTAATATATCAAAATATACTGAGTGACAATAAATAAATAATTATGAGTGAAGAACACTTTTTACCCATCTACCCTGCAAAGGAATCAATTCAATGTGAAGCATTAACCCGCCTGGTCCATTAAATGTTCAAAATTGAATACCCTGCTATCCTATTTGTCCATCCTAAATAACCACAGTAACTTGATAAACCTTTTCTGTGGCATTGAATGATCTATTTAGCATTTATGCAGCATCAACTGAAACAAACTTACTGATACATTGATATCACGTTTTATGACAACCCCGTAACATACTTACTCCTTTGCTTTCTTATTGCTTCCATCATATATCCCAGTTGGAAGGTGGTTTATTAAACCAAGCCTCTGAGCTATTTTTATTTGTTCCTCTTCTGTTAACTGATTGGCTGGACGACTTATGTTGGGAGACGGATGATAGATTGGAACACTCTCCTGCAAAGTGAAAAAATATCCCACAATTGTTACCATTGTTAATTATTCTCAGATTCTCTATTACATCACTGCCATAAATTCTACACTTTAAAAATCTTCCAAATTATGCCTTCTTTTGTGTCAACTATCCATAAACTGGTGTCTTGCTGGAGAGTCCTCAGCAAGGCACATGGATAGTGTAGGAAATGTTACTTCTTCCCAACATCAGCTATCAAGATCCACATGGGGATGGGTGTGATCACTTCAGATATAACTAACATGTAAATTTGTTAACACTGATAGCTATAGCTTCAAAATTTCTGTGAAAACAAACCTTCCATTACATCAGTGTCAAAATTTACAAGAGGGACTGGTAAATAGGTACATCTGGATTGTAAGAGTTGTTTTTTGGTATGTCTTGGATTAAAAATCCCTATAAAGAGGCATTTGATCAATCATAGGTAGCAACGGGACTGAATTAGCTCAAAAGGACTAAATTCAGATGAATTCCTGTCACTTGACAACAGCTGTTAACCTATGACATCACCTAAGAAAATTTGGCACAAAAGATAAACATGCCTTGCACTAATATAGTCGTGGTTAGTTCTTGACCCTGTTTTCAGCTACAATAGAAAGAAACAAACAGTTTTCACGAAGGTGACATAATGCCCCTTCCGCAAATTATCAAATCAAACTTAAAAAGTAATGAAAGTGAAGGTCGTAGTTTAAGATGAAGTTAAATGTCAACAAAAACTTGATCAGTCAACCTCTCTTGATATCTTGCTCTGTTGTTGTTCAAACACACAAATATTTTCAAGACTCACTTTGACCCTGACATGAATGTCATGGTGTATGACACATTAAAAAAATAGTAATAAAGAAATTGCTTATCAAAAAACATTCAAAAAGTCTATGAAGAAAATCCAGTGAACCTTTCTTGAGATATCTTGCTGACAATCTTAACATGCTGAAATCTTCAAAGTGTTGGTGTGACCTTGAAAATTAAGTGAAGGTCACCAAAATCGACTGGGCCCTGCGCCTTCCCTACATGAAGCTTGGTGTCAAATATGAAGAAAATCCAGTGAATGGTTCTTGAGGTATCTCGCTGACAAGCATAACATGCAGATTAATATGCTTAAATCTTCAGTGTTGCCGATCTTAAAAATTATGTGAAGGTCACCAAAATCGACTGGGCCCTGGCCTTCCCTAGACAAAGCTTGGTGTCAAATATGAAGAAAATCCAGTGAGCGGTTCTTAAGATAGCTTAACATGCAGGTTAACATGCTGAAATCTTCAAAGTGTCGCCATGACCTTGAAAATTATGTGAAGGTCACCAAAATAGACTGGGCCCTGCACCTTCCCAAGATAAAGCTTGGTGTTGAATATGTAGAAATCTAGTGAACAGTTCTTGAGGTATCTCGCTGACAAGGGTAAAACGTTAAGGTCCCCTTGTGACCTTGAAATGAAGGTCAAGGTCACCAAACCTGACTGGGACCTTTCTTATACTGTGATGAACCTAGATACCAAATATGAAAAGTCAACAGATATTCCAATTCATACGTACAGACGGATGTACGTACGGACAGAGCCTAATACTATATCCCCCGCTTCGTGCTAAACGCAAGGCACTCTGTCGGGGATGGTCGAGCTGAGCGGACTGTGAATCGGCAATGACAGTTTCCACCCCTGGAAAGTGATTTACCTTGACTGTGATGTTTAGTGAGTTCACCAAGTGGAAGAACTGTTGGGTCGAATGAAGGAGTTGTGGGGAACCTGTGGATCCCATCTGATTGATATACAATCCGAACGGATCAAAAGGCTGGGTGACTGAAAAAAAAAGTTGCCAATGAGTGATCGCCAAAATGACTGCCCTGAACTCCAAAACGTTGATGTGGCACGTTTGGTCTGCGGGAGACCATAGCACTGCCACTAGATGATCGAGTAGGTTAGCTCCCCACGTGTGTAGAGAGGCGTCTACCCACAGGTGATGTTCGGGAGCAAACGGCCTTAAAGAGACTCCGCCGCAAACATTCAACACGTCCAAACACCACTGGCGATGGGAATGGAGCACTGGAGGAAGAGAGATCAATGCGTGAGGGTCACTGATCCTGATGTGCGGACACATAAAATATTGGAGAGGTCGTAGTTGAAGCTGTCCCCTGAAAGTCAAAGCTTGAGCGGACGTCTACAGACCCAGAAGTTCTTGCCTCTGACAAAGAGTCCTGGGTTGTGAGGCCTAGCAACTATTGCCACTGAAGAAGGGATCTCTCCTGAAATAGGAAACGTTCAATTAGCCGAGTTACCATGACAGTACTAAAGAAGTGCCGAATGTAGTAGGTTCGAGGCATGGAGACTGTCAGTCAATCTACAGGAACGTTCACATTGTACACAGAGTGATGAAGGTCGTACAATCAGTGATCGCAGGAACATATGGTTTGCCAAATGAAGTGTTGGTCTGCCAGATGGAGTGAGAAAGAGTAAATGCGAAGCATGGGTATCGTCAATCTACCGGAACATTCGTAAAGTTGATGCAATGGCAGAGGTAAAAAAACAGGTGACCCGAGGAACATTTGTAAGGGAGACGAAGGTAGTAAAATCGATGCCTGCAAGACCGTCCGGACATATCTGCAGTGACCTCTGAACTGAGGGCTTAAGCAGCTAATGTAGGAAACTGAGTAATCCTAGCCAAAGTGAAAGTGTTACCCTCGGTAAACTGTTTTTCTCGGCTGGCTGACGAATCTCGACATAATCACTCATACCGGAAATGGCAACGTTCATTATTACAGGCAATTAAAGGATGGGATAGTTATCCGCTTCGTGGGATCAAGACAGGTCTGCCAGGGCACTTCATAGTCACTCTAATCATCAAAAGTCTCCGGTAAACAAACAGTAATCTGCTATTGCAAATCCTACCCACAATGCAATAGTGACAAAATCCGAACAACGCGGTCTTTGGTTAACCAGGCGAGTCCCAATCCATTAAGTCCGAGCTAAGGGACGCTAGCTACTTGACAAAACATCACTGCTGGTATAACACGCAGAAACTTGACACATCTGTCCAGAAACTTGCTGATGATGTAAAAGGAAGGTGATGAGGATGACGAAACATGCCACGAGTACACCCAGCGATACACACTCTGGATACGAGCTGTGCACTAGTAGATACAGTCTTGCCCCGTTTATCCGAACCTCAGATATCTGGAAAACTTGCCTTACGAACAAAAATTCATTAAAACGAATTCACAACATTGTAAAACTACTCACTTAACCGGAAATTCGGTTTCCGTAACCGGACGGTCATTTTCACATACCAAATGCTAAATCATATACATTTTTTCTCTCGTATATCCGGATGGCTGAGCACCTGTCAGTATGTTTACACGCACATTTTACCGAGTGGCCTTGCGTGCCCTAACATGAAACAAGGGTTACAAGCCGGCATTCTTTGAAGGGTGAGAGGATTAACTGCCCTTAATTAGCAAGGTGACACTGAGTTAATCTTGAGGCGTGTCAATTGGTGGGTCACTATAATTACGCTGATGAGTTCTTGTCTGATCAGAAACGTTGTCTGTCAACATGGCAAGCCAACCAACAAAGCGTAAACGCCATGCCATTACAGAGAGAGAAAAAAAGAAATTTGCAAGTACAAAGAGCAGTATCCCTCAGCAAGTCTGGAAACCCTGAGCAAACATTTTGGCACAGAATTCGGTCACACCATTGGCAAGTCGAGAATCAGTGACATTTTAAAAGACAAATCAAGATGGCTAGAAATTCCCGAAAGCTCATTGGAGTTATCACGCGCTCGTAATGTGAAACATCAAAATATGGAAGATGCAGTTTATCTTTGGATTTGTGACGTGACCAGCCAAAATTTGCCTGTTAATGACGAAATGTTAATTGAAAAAGCACGTACTTTTGGCGATAGCCTGGGTATCACTGACTTTGCGTATTCTCGTGGCTGGTTAACACGGTTTAAGTCTAGACACAATGGATCGAGCAGAAAATATGAAGGTGAAGCGGCAAGTGCTGACAAAGAAGTTGTGATCAAGGGTCGAGAAGATCTAAAGAAGGTTCTAGAAGACTATGAGGGGCAAGACATCTTCAATGTAGACGAGACTGGATTGTTCTTCAAACTTGGTCCGAATCAGACACTTGCATCTCAGCCTGTCAGCGGTACAAAACGCTCTAAAGAGCGAATCAGTGTTGTATTGTGTGCAAATGCAGATGGTTCAGTGAAAATTAAACCTTTTGTTATTGGCAAGGCTAGACGTCCCCCGTTGTTTTGGCAGTGATTTTAATCGGGAGGTTTATGTTGGGTACAGGAACAATGCAAAAGCGTGGATGACATCAGAACTGTTTCGTGATTGGTTGCTAACATTTGACAGACAGATGAGATTGAGAAGTAGGCGTGTGATATTTCTCATGGACAATGCATCTAGCCAAACCCCCAATGTAAAGTTGACACATGTCAGATTGCACTACCTGCCGCCCAACACGACGGCACACATTCAGCCGATGGATGCAGGAATCATCCGTGCTTTCAAAGCACATCACCGCAAAGCTTGTTGTGAGACACTTCATCGAGTGTGTTGATACAAACGAAAATCCAGCTGTCACCTTACGCACTGCAATACGGATGATCAAGCAAGCCTGGACCTCTGTGAGCGAAAAGACAATCGCTAACTGTTTTCGCCATGTCGATATCATCCAATCAAATGAAGACCCAGAAGAAGACATGGCCTTGGCGGAACTTCGCGATGCACTACGGTCCTATGGGCAAGTTGCACCTGTATCTGTTACTGCCGACGACCTTGTGAATGTCGACAGTGACGAACTGACTGGCGAATCCCTGAGTGACACTGACATCCTGCAAGCAGTGTGTCCTGACAACGAGACTGATGATGATGACGATGAAGTTGAGCAGCCGCCACCTCCCCCACCCGTGTCTCACAACGAAGCTCGTGTCTGCGTTGACCAGTTGATCAGGTACTACGAATGTGCAGGCGACACTGACAACCTCG